AAGCTGCTGCAATTGATAAAAAAAGATTAGTGCAGAGCAATTTTCTTGGAGATAGCCAGGAAACAGCAGAATACCAGAGACAGAGAAAGGGATCCACCCTGAGGTGTCCTGTCCATATCCATGACTGACTCCAACAAATCCGAGAATATCCTGAGCTGGAAGGGACTCACAAGGAGCATGAGTCTGACTCATGGCCCTGCACAGGACATCCCACCACATGTCTGAGAGCCTTGTCCAAACACTCCTTGAATTCACAGGGGCTGTGACCATTCCCTGGGGAGTCTGTTCCAGTGTCCTGCACTCTCTGGTCCAAATCTGATGAAAACTGCACCAGGACAGAGTCCAAAATCAAACACAAAGGAAAATCAGGAGACCCCTTGGGAATCAGAGTGTAGCTCAATGCACTGAATGTCACAGCAACAGATCCATGATTCAGGATGGGCAGTCATCAATGCAAGATAAATTAATTATTCAGAAGTAAGCTGAAGTGATATAAATTGAGGTTTTTGGTCTCACTGAAAGGTGCAATGGCCACAAGGTTTCAACTGAGGACTCACAGGAAGAAATGTTAGATTTCCTAAAAGGCCAGTTGAGGTTTTGGAGGATGGAGCCCACCAAGACCTCCAGAAGCAGAGAGGGGCTGAAAGGATGAAGTGAGCAAGGACAGAAATGGAGAAAAGCCATACTTGCCAAGGAAATTCCAGTAGCAGTGATGGCAACAGCAGCACTGGCTCCAGCTTCCTCAGCTACTTCTTTAAGGTGGGAAAGGAGGAAAAGGAAGGAAAATGTTCTTAGAAGAAGGAAAGGCTTGGCACTGATGGGGCTGTGGACTCCTCACCTGAAATTCCCTGAAATTGTGACACTCACTCATACCACAGCATTTTTTAAAAGCTAATTTTCTGGTCTTGATAGCTAAATGTTGAGTCTTGAAAGTGATCTCAGGCTTCATACCTTATTTGAAAAATGTTTTTAAACAAACACTGAAATTCTCAGTCACATGACTCCAAGAACTGAGATATAAGGGTGGGCATTGAGAAATCTCTGATTCCCCTGGATCATAAGGCACCTTAGGATCAGGTTAATAAAGGAGGAATGCATTTAGGTGCTGGCTCAAGGCCAAAACTCATTAATATTTGTGGATGTGGATGTGGATGTTGTGGCTGCCCCACCCCTGGAAGTGTTCAATGCCAGGCTGGATGGGCTTGGAGCAATGTGGGATAGTGGAAGGCGTCCCTGCCTGTGCAGGGGGTAGGGCTGGATGAGCTTGAAGATCCCTTCCAACCTGAACCATTCTGGGATTCTGGGATTCCATGAATATGTCCACACCCAGCTTTGCTCCAAATGCAGGGGCAAGGGGTTGGCAGTCCCCAAACAACAGTGGGAAGGAAGAGATGAAGCTGGCATGGATTATCTGAGCTGCTTTTCCCAGAAAGAGCAGCGAGGGGGGATTCTCAGCCAGGACCAGCCACAGAGGGACACGGGGTCCTCCCTGGATGTGAGGGTGAATGCAAACAAGAGACGTCACACATTCCTCTGTGCATCCCTCACCTACAGCTGGGCCTGAGGAGGTGGCCAGCTCACTGCAGAAGGGAAGGGTGTGTTTGTGCAGCATCCCAGCTTCCATGTGGGCCAAACCAGAGCCAAACTACCGTTTGATTAATCAAGCCTTCGATCCAGCTCCCTGCCTCCCTCCACGTGCAAGGAGCACGATCTGAACAGCACGCACTGTTGGCCTTCAAGGGCTGGCTGAGGCAGCTCCTGATAGCGCTGTTTATACAGCTTCCCGAAGGAAACAATGTGGATTTTATTAAATGATCCCATTAGTGTTTCTCCATGCTGTCATTGCAGACTTCAAACGATGATTTATGTTGGCTCGTAGGTCTTTGTCCTCGCACCGAGAGCGGCATCCAAGGACAAAGTGTTCCGGGACGGGGCGGTGGGAGCCCCGCTGCTCCGGCTGCGCGGCCGTGCCGGGCTCTGAGCCCCCTGTGCCACACGCCAGGCCACAAAGGGGACTGCTGGCCAGCCAAGGACAGTGACACGAGGCACACGGACACCCGGGACCGTCCTTTGTGGTGTCCGTCTCCCACGCGGATGGTTTAAAGGGAGAGAGGCACAGCCCATGGAGACCCAGCCACAGGCAAGTTTTTTATGCTATTTGAAGTGGGACAGATCCTTTTATCCCAGAAAAACTGTTTGTCACCTGCTGGTTCTTACCCCTTAGAATTACATTATACTGCCAGGCTGGTTTTCTGCCTATTTTTGCCATTATTCCACCCCATCATTCCCTGATTCTATCCCCCAAACCAATTTTGCCTGTTTTGCATGCACGCTGGTTTTCACCTCAGGAGTGAAGCAAATAATCCACTCAGTGAAGAAAAGACAGCTAAGGAGAGGAGAACTGTCCCTTTTGGGACACAAAAGCCACAGACATCCACACTTGGACAAAGCAAGCTGTGGCAATGCCAGGAGTGACTGTGCAGTCAGTATGGATGGAGCCAGGAGTACATTCCCCAGGGAATCCTTCACATGAGCCTTGAGAGGTGTCAGAAATGCAAAGCCCTTTTTGGGTGAAAAGGACTTCTTTTCAGAGTCCTCCCCTGTGTTGCCCTGGGTTTGTGCTGAGGTTGTGGGAATGAGGCAATCCTGAGATGTATCTTCCCACACTAAAAAAATCCAAGGTTTTTGCTGGCAGGCACCACTCAAAGCTCACCTTGAAGACCCACCAGGTGCCTTGGTCACTTGCTCTCCCTGCCAATTGGGCAGAGCACTCATGCTCTGGGTCTGAGGGGTCAGAAAAACACATCCAGCAACTCCATGGCCCCGTGAGCTGCTGAAAAATCAGGCAAGACGGTCTGAAGCTGCTTTTCATGCACATGGGATGGCTGAGTGAGCCTGCTCCTCACCCTCCTGTTTAAACACAACCTCTGCCCTCAGCTGCAGCGAGAGTATTTCACTCTGTGGGAATCTCCCAGGGAAGATCTTCCTCTTTGGGAAACTGCAATTGAAGAGGATATTTTGAAGAGGTTCAAACCTCCTCTCTCTCACCCATGTGAGGTCACTGTGATCACTGTAAAACAGAGCTTTCAAGTTTTTGGAGCCTAGCCTGTGACTTTCCCACTGTTTTTGTCAGCACCTGCACACACCAAATGTTTCTGTGCCTAAAACAGCACTACTGAGAGCTGCAGAGTGATGTTCTAGAGAGGATTTGGAGAGAGCCTGTGCAGGATAGCAAAAGTGCAGCTCAGTTTCTAGAATATTTTTGGTTTAAAAATCATCACATGCTGAAAGCAAAAGTCAGAATTAAACTAAAAAAAAAATGCATCTTATCATCCACACATAAGTCTAAGATCCTGCAGCGTCAAGAAACTTTCCTTGCCCAGCTTTAGAAAGATCACTTCTGTGAGAGAAAACCCTTCTTGTGCTTCTTGTTTCTTCTTTATGTCTTCATTTATTTTTAAAAAATTCTTATTAGGTCTTCAGTTTATTAAGCCATCGTCTAGCCAGACAGGATTTGACATCCATAGCCCTGCTACAAACCTTGGACCAAACTCCGGGAGCTTGTGGCAATGCCCAGAGCAGCTCTCCAGGGACTGGCTCACAAGGACTGGGGCAGGGCTGTCACCCTGCACAGTGTCACCTTCCAGAGGACAGGCACCAGTACACAGCTGCTCTGCTTCCCTCCGTGTGGCCACTCAGTGGGTGAAGAGTTTCTTCTTCTGGCTCTAGAGAATGAGGGTCCAAAATCTGGCAGCAGTAACAAGAAAACAGAACAGCCTTGCCTTTCTTCAGGATGAGGGATGCTGAGTCTGGATTTCAGCAGCACTTAAAAGACCACCAAGCCAGCACATTTCCTGCCACTCCAGTGGGAAAGGGTGGAATGAAAGCCCAAGCCTCGGGTGTCCACATGGACATGCCCAAGCAGGGACAAATCACAGAATCCCAGAATGGTTTAGGTGGGAAGGAACCTTAAAAATCACCTCGTTCCACCACCTCCCACTATCCCAGGGTTCTCCAAGCGCCATCCAGCCTGGCCTTGTACACTTCCAGGGATCCAGGGGCAGCCACAGATTCTCTGGGCAAACTCTTCCAAGAGCTGTATCCAAAAAGGTCACTGATGTCGGAATCTGTGGGTATTGATGATTCCCAGATTGTAAAAGTCTCTGTCTTTCTGCCCCGTTGCCAAAGAAGAAGCCATAATTGGTCTGTGCTGGTTTCAAGGTTGTTTATTCTGTTTATCTCTAACATGTTCTGCTGCCCTGCCGCAGCTCTGTCCTGCAGGGCAGCGTGTGGGGCTCTGCCCCTCAGTGGGATGGTACAAACATTAAATACCAGAAATTACGTGTGCTATATTTACAATAATGTGCCAATATCTGTCACCTACGCTGGACAGCGTGTCCCCAGCCTGAACCAACAGAAAAATGCCAACACCACAGTGAAACATGGAGGGCATGAAGAAGGAGGAAAAGGACAAGACACACCCAATTTCCTCCATCTTGTCCCCTTTGGACTCCTTATCTAGAATCCTAAAATTTTACTTTTGCACCCGTGCCACACATAATTATTACTCTTATCAAACACTCAGAGCTGGTAATTCATCCTGTAAGATTGAAAACTCTTTTCCATGGCCAGAGATCACAGCCAGTGTCTGTGGGGGCTCTGTCCAGGGGGGTTCCTGACCCCTGCCAGGGTCCCAGACCTGCCAGGGCAGCCAGAGGGAAGCCCTGGATTCCCACAACTGAGATGTCTGCGTGCACTTTGCAGGTGAATCCCTCACTTGGGCAAGGAGGTGAGCTCTTCTCCGCTGACTCTTGCAGGGAAATGTTTCCCCAAAGAGACCATAAAGACTGCCTATGTTAGTGCAGGCTAAAGAAACCCGTAAAACGGTGACACACAGCTGAAGGGGAAGAATATTTCGGGAAGGGAATCATATGGACAGGCAGGGAAACGCAGGGCTTTGAAAGGGGATGGGGCGGGACAGGAAGAACATTCCTTCCCCGCTACGAACGCCTCGGGGAGCATCCGCCGGGGCCGGCCGCGCTGCTCCTGGTGCTCCTGATGAGCTGCATCAGCTCATCCCAGCCCACCACCACGGATGGAGAGCCATGAGGTGCCCGGAAAGAGGCGGCCTGAGCCCCAGATGCTCCGGCTGGAGGTCGCCACCAGTGTCGGGCGCGGTGGCCGCAGGCAGCGGGGTGACCTCGGCCTGTGGGCACCGCCGGGCTGCGCGCACGGAGGCTGAGGGAGAGCGGAGCGTGGTGCTGCAGCGTCGGAATCTGAGGTATTGGCGATTCCCAGATTGTAAAAGTCTCTGTCTTTCTGCCCCGCTGCCAAAGAAGAAGCCATAATTGGTCTGTGCTGGTTTCAAGGTTGTTTATTCTGTTTATCTCCAACATGTTCTGCTGCCCTGCCGCAGCTCTGTCCTGCAGGGCAGCGTGTGGGGCTCTGCCCTCAGTGGGATGGTACAAACATTAAATACCACAAACTACCTGTGCTGGATTTACAATAACGTGCCAATATCTGTCACCTACGTTGGACAGTGTGTCCCCAGCCTAAACCAACAGAAAAATGCCAACACCACAGTGAAACATGGAGGGCATGAAGAAGGAGAAAAAGGACAAGGCACACCCAATTTCCTCCATCTTGTCCCCTTTGAACCCCTAATCTAGAATCCTAAAATTTTGCTTTTGCACCCGTGCCACACTTAATTATTACTTATATCAAACACTCAGAGCTTGTAATTCATCCTGTAAGATTGAAAACTCTTTTCCATGGCCAGAGATCACAGCCAGTGTCTCTGGGGGCTCTGTCCAGGGGGGTTCTTGACCCCTGCCAGGGTCCCAGACCTGCCAGGGCAGCCAGAGGGAAGCTCTGGATTCCCACACTGCAGGGCTGTTTTGCAATTCCATGTGGTGCTCTTTTCCCTCAGAAGATGGGGAGAACTGCAGTTGCTTCATGCTTTCAGCTCAAACAGGGCTTTACAGCCCCTTCCCCACCTGGCTGAGGGGCACAGAGCATCAGCCTCAGAACAGGGCTCCTTTCCACCACCCTGTTGTTCATCTCCCTGTCTCTGCATCTGCTTTGCCACACTGTTTAGTTAATTTGTTTGTTCTTCCCCAAATTTCTGAATTATTGTCAAAACCAGGGCTTGTGGATACATGGAAGAGAAAAATTAAACCCCTCTTCTGCATCTCAGGCTGACAAAGCCACACTTGGGATGTCAAAGCCAGCCCAAATGATCAGATGAGAACAGGAACTGCTGAGCCAGCCCCTGGCTCCCCCTTAAGCAGCACAACCCCCTACACTGACTTCTGCAGACACCCAAAAGAGGGGACCAGCCCTGCTCCCCCACTGCTGCATGTAATGCCACCAAAATTGGCATCAGGATAGATCCCATCCTGCAGTGGGTTGTCTTATTATTTACAAAGAGCTGGCTCTTCCTTTTGATAATTATCAGCCACCCTTTGAAGTTATTTGTCTCCACAGATGTTTGCTGCTGCCTGGAGGCATGTTACTGTCCCAAATTGCTGAGGACACCCATGAAGAGTCATGGTAGGGAAGGAAGCTCACTGTCTCCTCCCTGGCACTAAACCATATGGGAATGGTCTCTGCTCCTTTCTAAACTGGGACAAAACTCCCAAGTGCCAACCGAGTTTGTGTCCTGCAGGAACAATATTGAGTGAGTTCTTCTTGTTGAGAAAGCATTAATGTCCTGAGCCCCAGGAGACCCTGAGGGGACAAAAGAGCCTGATTGCAGCAGGGATGGGAGCAGGGTTTCATGGATCAGCACCAGCTGGGGCTGTGCTGGGTCCAGCATCCCCAGAGCTCAGTCTTTCCCACATCTGGAAAAAGGCACTGCAGAAGATGCACTGCTGCCAGTGGGGCTGCAGGCAGAGCATATCTCACTCTTGGCAGGCAACAGGTAGGGAGCAGCATTTCTCCTTTTATTTTCTCATCCTGATGAGAAAGGAAGATTTTTGGAGCTGGTGGGAGAGGAGTGATAGTTTAAATCAACAGTTTGCTGTCAGCACTGCAGAAGCCTGCTCTGCACGTTACCTGGTAAACAAACCGTGCTCTGAGAAAGAAAGGCCTGTTTATAAAAACTGCTCTTGACATTTGCCTCCTCAAACATAGCAAAACATGTGCTAGGAATAGATGCTTGAATGATCGAGTCTGTTTTGAGTCTCCTCTCTTCAACAACCAAGGAAATCCCTATGTACAAACATTTAAACTGGAACATCTGGAGCACAGTAATTTTATCTTGAAGATCCACATCAAACAAACCTGCAGCTCAGCCCGAGAAGATCTACAAATACTTCCCCAAGGAGACCTCAGATTTGAAAGAAAGATAATTCAGCATCCCTCTACCCACACCTGACAAGTTTTCCTTAAGAGGTCATTAGCATGAAATTATCGCTCTTAGTCAAACCCAAAGTAAAAGAGATTTGTCCCAGTTATCTGGGGCAGGCCATGAAATACCTGCTTGTAAATTTACAACCCGGAAAACCCCATGCATCATTTGCAGGCAGAACTTTACCCGAGAAGTCTCACTTTGGTTGCACTTTTTCTGTGCAGCTGAACTGCTAAAATAAGCACCCAGCCATATATAGCGCAGTACGTTGGCACTCACAGCGGTGGGGAACGAATGGATTCAATTTTCCATGGAAGATGACAATTAAAATTGCTTTCTTTGGTATATCCCATCCTTTCTGTTGTTTTTTCTGTTCCCTCCAAGCGCAGAGTAAATTTAGGACTCCGAGCTCCTTTTTCTTCAAAATCTCACTTCCAGTTTCCATCTTATTAAAGACATGACTTAACTTTAATGTGTGTAACATAAACGGCATCGTAAAGAGGAAGAATTAAAACAGCATGGGAACATTGGTGGTTTCAAGAGGGGGGAAATGGCACAGCTTCTTTCCTTTTGGGTTGTTGTTTATCCAGTGGATAAACCTCGGCGTTCTCGCTTCTACCGAATACTTCGCCTCGCCTTGCAATAATTGGGAATTCCACGTTTTGCAAAGTTGTTACATTATATCCACAAATAATCCATCTTGTCAAGTCCATCTCGTCCGTCGAAGATAAAGTTGGAGCTGAGTCGCTGCAGACATCTGGAGAAGGTTCATTACTTGTAATTGCGAGCCCCTCTGTTAATGCACCCCATGAGAAAGGAGCTGACAGGCTGCATATTTCTGCAAACTGTTCCCAGAAAGAACCAATTTCCTGACTTCCATGTGGTGTCAATAATATAGGCATGAGATGGAGCAGTGCTTATGAAATATTAAATCTGCTTACAGGACCCAGCTATAAGCAAATTCAGACCACCTGGGAGATGGAGGTTTGCACTGGGTTTGTGGAATTTGGCACTCACCTGGTACATGAGATGGGCTCTAATGTGCACATTTTGGCTTGTTTACCACAAAACTTCCTGACAGTAGTGCAGGGAGAAAGGAGAAAAAAGGTAGAGGGTGGAGGGGGTAAAACACATTTCTTCACGTTTAGGATTCAAACCTTTCAAATCACTGACATTATTAAATTTACTATCACATGCAGCCAGAGATCTTATTATTCATCAGCAAAAAAAAAGACTGATATTTCATGGCTTTTGAGTTAGATCATTTTGGTTCATGCCAATGAAAACAAAGCATTAGTGTTTTGATGTTTTAATATAATGATTTAATTCTCTCATTGATATTAGAATCCAGAAACACAACAAACACGAAGACCCCTTCAAAATCCTTGAGTCAGAGCAAAGGCTCTTAAATCACTTCAGCACTCTGACCTCCTGCTTCACAGAGTGTATTTTATGCCAGGGACTTGGAGAAGAAGGGGTCCTTCCCAAACTTGCAGCATGACAGTGCTAACCTGCCTTCTGCGAGCTGGCCTCTGTAAATTGAAAAACATCTGGGCTCTTTTTGCTGGCAAAAGCAGCAGCTCCTTGACCTCAGAGCAGAGCCGTCAACTTGAGCTGCAAACGGAGCCTTTTCAGCAATTCATCCCCAATTTTCCACCCTCTGGGCACTGCTACCCAGGAGGAAACCCAGCACCCCTGGGCTGGCAGCAGACATGGAGATATGGGCAAGGGGACAAAGAAATTTTGATGGCATTAGTCCACCACCTATGTTTCACTCCCCAGTGTTCAAGGGCTGGGGATGAAAAGTGGTCTCCATTTTCTCCAGCAGGAAATAAAAGACAGTTTTTCTCCAAGGAAGATGAAGGGAAGAAGCAGAGCAGGAACGAGCTTTCACCACAGCAACAGGAAGATGCCAGCTAGCCTAATGGGGGATATTTTGCCCTGTGCTATAATAGAAAAACATAAAATCTTAAGATCATAATCATGGAATGATTTGGGTTTGAAGGATCATCTCGTTCCAACCCCTTACCATGGGCAGGAACACCTTCCACTAGACCGGGTGCTCCAAGCCCCATCCAACTGGACTTGGACACTTCCAGAGATGCAGGAGCAGACACAGCATCTCTGGGCAACCTGTGCCAGTGCTTCCCCACTCTCAAAGGGAAGAATTTCTTCCTAAAATCTAATCTAACCCTACCCTCTATCAGTGTGAAGACAAAAATATGTGTAAAACATCACATGGGACTTACTACAAACACGTTCCAGGAGGAGAAGCTCTCTGAGATGATGGGGGCAGGCCCCAGAGGTGGTGGAAGATGGGAGATGCATGTGGTGCTGCAGGGCAAGAGCTGGGACTGAGTAGATGCAGGACCAGACCAGGTTGGCATCTTTGCACCAGCCTTGCCACATCCACCCCATTCCTGGGAGGCCACAGCGAGCATTCCTTTCCTGATGCTCCTGATGCTCCTCTGCTGGGGCACAGCACAGGACACAGAGGTGTGGGTGGACGACAGCCTTCCCATCTATTCATCTCACTTGTGAGTGAAGGGGCTCTTTTTGGGCTGCAGCCTCTTTGCTACAGCCAGGATCTGTCAGCAGGACGTGACGTACAGCGCTGTGGGACAGCTCTGCTCCCTGTGCTCCCCTCACACAGCAGGAATGTCTCTTGTTTTCTCTCCTCCAGACCATGTCGGAGCTGAGAGCATCCAGCCGGGACGGCTCAAGGCCCAGGGAAATCAGGCAGCTGCCCAAAGCAGCCAGGGCCTCCCTGCCTGTGCTGGAGTGCTGCAACACCCCTGGGCTCCTGCCACTGAGGGAGGGCTGGGAATGAGCATCCATCACTTCCTGCACCAGCAGCCACCAGGGCAGCACACAAAGATCTTCTCCCACTCCCCTTCCTCATCCTGACTCTCCTCCTGAAGACCACCAGGCATAGATTGAGAAGCTCTGAGCTGGATTTGTCCCTTGCCACACTGATTAGACTGAAAGGTCTCATGCCACATGGTGGATTTTTGGGGTTTTCTCCCAAGTCCATGTTCTTCATCCTCCATCCATAGGTCATTTCTGGATGTAAAGCATAGAGTGTGTTTGTGATGATCAAGGCTAAAATCTCTCCCATATCACACAGGCTGAGCCCAGGGTTGGACCCTATTCTTGACTGGGTACAGCTGGGTTAGACAGAGCTTGGCTGAGCTGGTCCAAGACCTTGTCCAGCCCCTGCTTCTGGCTGTGCACAGGAGCAGGCACAGGTGAGGCTTTGTTGGTCCCCTGGGCTCAAGGTGATACTGGACTGAGCACCTGCAGCTTTGTAGTCACTGGGATGCTCTTCTTGGTTGCCTCATCCCTGGGTTTCTGTGGAAATTCCACTAACATCACCCAGGACCTGCAGAGGATGACACTTGCTGGGGTTTATCCACTGAGGTCTCCACTTTTTCTACATAGACTATCTCAATCCAAATGACCAAAGCGTTCCCCAAAACTGGATTTGTTTCCATAATTGCCTTCACCTTCTTGCCACCACATTTCCCCAGCAGGACACAGATGATTCTCCCAGCCCTGGGCTGCCCAGCAGAGTCGTCTCTGCCCAGGCCTCAAAACCAAACACTTCTGCTCCAAATTCCATTCGAGGTGGTGATGCCTCCTACAAAGCAGAGTTTTATCTGCTGAGGACCAGCATTGGTGCCTGAAGTCTGGAATGGGTGCAACATATTCATGGAAACAGTCTGTCCCAGCCTGTATCAAGCCAAAGGTAGAAAACACAGGAGCATGGCTTTGCCTCATTTTGTGTTTTTAAAATCAAAATATGTACAAGCAGAATTGCTTTTACCCACCAGGGAAGCTCTGCATGACATCTGTTACCTTCTGTATACGTGCAATGCCTGTCTCTCATCTCCTGCTGGTCACTAAAGAACTTGAGCCTGTTACTCCCACATGTCCAAAAGGAGATTCAGCATTTGCATCTCATTGCAGGTGTCACACTTTGTTAACATCTAATGTTTCATGCTTCTCATGCAATGGGTGACAAGATGACTTCAAATGCTAATAACATAAACAAGCACGATTTAAAAATGCTAATAAAACAAATAAAAAAGGTCCTTTATGTTCCTCAAATAATAATAATAATAATAATAATAATAATAATAATAATAATAATAATAATAATAATAGTTCTGTTTTAATGAAAGGTGGAATCTCTTGCTCCTGAGAGGAAAGATTGCTAGCTGGAATAAAGAGTGTTCAGCCCAGCTGTTTCTACTATGAGGCCGTATTTTATTTCCCCTGAAGGTCCTTCATGTTTCCACAGACAACTGTCCTTGCACAGCCCAATAAATTCCATCACCTCAGCTGGCCAAACAACCACTGTGGTTGGGGGGGGGTCTGACCAGCTTCTAGGATACCAACCAGCTTTGGGAGCTTCATTTTTCACCTCCTCTTCTCCCAGTTGTCCTGGCTTGTAAGATAAGCATGGATTCTATTGCCATCTGTTGGAGGTTGGGCAGTTTTCTTATCTCTTCCAAGAACAATGTCTCCCTCCGGGGAGATATCTTCTGTTAATGGACTATTAAATGATTCACTGCATGACTGGTAAAGTTACATCATCCCATGGTGAGATGTTCCACCCAGAGGGGAGGAGCCAAGCATTCCTACCTGCATAAAATCAGCACTTTTTGAGACACTGGCAGCCACTTGGCTGGATTCCCAGAGGAGGACCAGGCCCAACTACTACCAGACCTTCAGAGAAAACAACACCCTTCTAGAGATCACCACTTCAGCAGCATTTCATCTGCCACTCCAGGAGGAGCAGCCACCATTTAACTGGACTACTACTAACACCCTGACTCCTCAGGGTGTCAGGTTTCTGACTCCATCACTAGTTTTGTTTGTACTAATTACATTTTTTTTATTATTATCTTTATTTAGTTTTTCTCCTAGTAAAGAACTGTTATTCCCATTCTCATATCTTTGCCTGAGAGCCTTTTTTTAAATTGTGGTAATTTGGAGGGAGGGGGTTAACCTTTTCCATTTCACAGGAGGCTTTTGCCTTCCTTCACAGACTCCTGTCTTTTCAAACCAAGACACCAGTGAATACCCAACACCCCCATGACTATGGGTCCATAACTATGGATCATTGGCCTGGCCAGCACAGGGCTAATGTTTGCATCAGCCAGGAGGAGCTGCTCTGCCTGTCTGTCTCAGCCTCAGCAATGACACCCTAAATGGGTCATTCTGGCCGAGTCCTTCCTGGTGCTGAGCATAAAAAGTTGTGCAGACAAAACCAGGGAGGGAATCTCACCAGCCATTTATCACCTCAGCAACAAGAGCTTGGTAACAGGCTGTTATCTATAGCAGAAAGCAGGAGCAGAAAGGAGACACCAGACCACCAGACCCAGGTCATGCCCCTGGCGGGTGTCCTTACCAATTATCAGTGTCTGCAGCTCTCCAGGAGCTCAGGGATGCTCCTCACCACCTGCAGATCATCTTACCCATCCACTCAAAACCACAGCCAACTGTGTGCTCCTGCCCACCAGCATGTGCCAAGGCACAGGATGGGATTCTTGGGGAGATGTCCTCTGCAGGGCCAGGAGTTGGACTTGGTGATCCTTGTGGGTCCTTTCCAACCCAGGATGTTTTGTGATTCTAAGGCTTTGGACAGCCCAGGTTTCAGCCATCTTCCTGATCCATGCTGATTTACCCCAAAATAGATCTTCCCTCTGTCCACCCTCCCAGTGCAAGGAATATGTTACATGCACCCCAGCCCCCCTGCTTGTGTCTGATGGTGACCTTTTCAACATATTTCTTGGAGTATTGTAAAACATTATCTGAAAAAAAAAAAAAAAAAAAAAACAACAACAACAAACCAGCCCAAACCAAAGCAATCTGGGTAATGATGGCCTTTTGTTCCAGTTTATCCTGCATCAAACTCCATAGATGGCAACTTTGAACATTTCCCAGACCTTCATAGTAGAGCTTGGAACTGTCTCTCTGATTTATTGGTTGTTTCATGACACATGCATTTCTCCTATATAATCCCAGTGTTTTGCTTATAAGCCATATTATAACTGTGAATCAATCTTCTTTATTTGAACATCTAGGACAGATTCACACATCATTTCACCATTAACTAGGATAGACTCAGCCTTGCAGATCTTTCAGGTTTCAAGCCTGGCTGTGTTGTTTCAGTTCTTTGCTGCTGCCTATGTTTTGTGGAAAAAAAAAAAAAAATTAAATAACCAGACTTTGGGACTTTCTGTTGCGGCTTGAAGAACACAGGTTGTTTCATCACTGCTTGTGAGACATGTGTTACCCGGCTCATTAATTCACAACAGTTCTTGTTTTCTCTGCCTTTTTCATGCTGATGTGATACATTTGTGAAGTCCAGGGTTGTACTGCAAGTGATTAATGCTGCAGTAAAGTCTAATAAACTGAGATTCCAACAAAAAAAGTGTGAAAAATGTAATCTCTAAAGTTCTGAAAGCTCACATATGACAAAACCCATAAATCACCCCAGAAGCAGTCATTATGGTGAGTTACTAACTAGATTATACAGCTGCATTTGTCATAATTTCCCATTACGTAGAGAATAAACCTATCAGGCTGATTTATGGCAGAGGGCTCCACAATATGGGAACCGGGACCTGTGCTGTTCTGTGGAAAACGATGAGAAATGTTGTGTCTGCTCAAGTGCTGAATGGAAAAGGAAGGAGGGGAGATAACTGTTATTTGAAGGCACTGATTCAGGGACAAAGACTTCAGAGAGGATTCATGCTTACAGGAAGAGTATCCACCAACCTGTCCCAACACCACTAGCAGCATCAGAATGTATTCTCCACAGCTGGGGGGAAGAGAGGAGATAGGAGGTCTTTTGAGGGGACGAAAGTCAGTCATGGGGAAATCATAGAATCCTGGAATGGTCTGGGTTGGAAGGAACCTTAAAAACCATCTTGCTCCAGCCCCTGAGATGGGCTAGGACAAACTGAACAGCTGAATGCCTGGCTACTCAGAGGATACTCAAGGTTTTCGATTCCATGTCTGTGCATCACCTTGGAGCAGCTGGGTCTATTGGGAGCAGATGGCATCCACCTGACCTCAGACCACAGAAAAAAGATGGGCAGATGTGGGACTCAGCAAGGCAATGGACATTGTGGAGTTGTGTTTTTATGTTTTATTGTATTCTCATTCTGTAATGTTTGTTCCCATTTACCCCCCATATTCCCTTTGGTTTCTCCCTGAGTTTTCCCACCTTCCCTCATGTGTCTATCAACCCCAAAACTGCTTAGTCATTCCCCTGTCCCCTCCCAGGTGCCTTGTCCGTCACTCAGCATCCCATCCCATCTATCTAGAAGCTTCCACAAAGGGCGTTGGGTGATTGGACGAGGACCTGGGGTCCCTCCCCTGTCTCTCCCTAACTGGTTACCCCAAATGTCTATCCCCGAGAGAGCCACACCTTTACCTTCCCTTATTGGCCGGTTGGGTTTCCCCTCCCTCCCCATAAAGGTTACTGATTTGCTGCACCCCTGTTTTGGTTTGGTTGGCTTCTGGGGGTTTCCCTCAGAGCCCGAATAAACTGGGATTTATCCCCAAGAGAGAGTCGCCTTCTCACTGCCGCCGGGATCAGCAGCCTTTGAACCCACAGAGGCACTCCCTCAAGCCTGCAAGGGGCTAGCGGGGAGTGCCTCTTGCTGCCTGTCCACCCCTGGTGGAGCCAGCCAGGGCTGGTCAGTGGTCATCTGCAGCTGAGTGGGGACGGAGCGCGGCAGGACATCCCTGCACAGCAGCGCTCTGACAGGAGCAGCAGTGGTCTCCTCTCAGTGGCCTCATTGGTGCAGCAGCTGCTGAAGACCACGGTGGCTACAGAGATGCTTTTTGCTCTGCAATCCCTTTGTACTCAAAGGCCAGGCTGGGCATTTCACCTGGGCTGGAAGGCCTGGCTGGGCAGGGAGCAGGCAAGAAGCACTGCTGTTGTCATCTGCATGTGTTCGCTGGGGACACAATGAAGATTCTGTTCATCCCAGACACTGCCCAGGGCCTTGGAACTGCAAATCTCAACTTGTTGGACATGCAGGAGACACTCTGTTGGCAGAGGGAGTTGCCCACAGGGAAATTGTCACCTGCAGGTGTCCGATAATGGGAAGATTTGCAAGAGATCTTAGAGGGGCTGGATCTAGGAAGAGTTGAGCAGGAAAAACAGAGTGACCCTCGCCCACTCCAGTTGTAGAAAAACCAGTGCCATCCCAACAGAATCTCTGGTGCTTTCATAAATAACACTATTGATTATAATCAGCAGGATTGATGATGTTTGTTTCTCCTTGACAAGAGTTTGGGGGGCTTCTGCCTGCTTTGTGAAGGGAGCCCCTGGGCCCATTCCCTCCCACAGGGGCTGCACTTGGTGGGTGCCGGGGCTTTCATTTGGGCCCACTCGGAGCCCCTAAGCTGGGCTGGGGACCAAGGGCGAGGCTGGCCCGGCTGTGATGCCTCTGGCACGTGGGACATCAGGGGGAGCGTGTCACAATGGGGGCAGCTGGAAGAGGCCCCCGCAGGTGACGCTGGCCCAGCACAGCCTGGGCAAGCAGTGAATGCAGACGTGGTGGGGCTGGGCTGAGCTGGGCCAGGGCACAAGCGCCGCACCCGGACCTGCATTGTCCCCCTGCATCCAGGGCCAGCCCCTTGTGCCAGCGCCTTGGCCAGGGCACGGGGCTGCTGCTGCCCCACTGGGACAGGTCCTGCTGCCTGCCAGCTGTCTGGGGCCCTCTGCTTCCTGCCTCACATCCCTGTGCCTCCAGGATTCACTTCAGCCATCACAAACTCCCTTGGTAGCCCCACTGAAACCTTTGTCTCTCTTCTCCTGCAGACCATGGTGTCCAAATCAGCCCTTGTCCTGGTTGTGCTGCTCCTCTTCCACTTCCCACATCCCATGGTGAATTGGTTCCATGAGGATGTGCAGCACCGTGTGGAGGAGCGGAAACAATCCCCCCCCAGAGGCACCTGAGCCTGGCAGGGGACCCCAGCTCCTAGGGGACCCCAGCTCCTGGCTGCCTTGCAGCAGCTGCAGAGCTTCTGGGGAATTGCTCAGCTGCTGTTCCTGCCTTTGGAGCTGTGGCTAAGGCACAGAAGGGCAGCCAAGAGGCAGAGAGCAGCGGCCCGGAGAGCTGAAGAAGAGGCAAGAAGGAGGAAGATGGAAATCGAGCGGAGAATGCGGCTTCTTGAGAAGAGATACAGTGACATGGAACAAATGCGCAGGGCCGT